CTGTAGTCAGCATGCTCCGGCGGGGCAGCCGTGGGTGCTCTAGGCTTGCTCCACGGGTACCGCTGGCCATCTCCACTGGGCTCGCCTGGGGAGGATGTGTGCGTGGGGTTACTGGCCCTGTCGGGTACTGACGGGGGAGCTGGCGCGGCATTGCTACTGGTGGCCCATGGATACGGGCGGCCGTCGCTATCGCGTCCCTTGGGGGCACGCGTCCTTGCGTCGCGCTGTAACAGGTTGCGATGCTTCTCCATGACTGTTGGCCACTCCACACGGAGCTGGTGATCAACTTCCACCTTGTAGGCATCGTAGCCTGCTTCTTCCCATGCCCGAAGAAATTCCTCGCATAGCTGTGCCGTGTTCTTCTTGGGGTCGGATTCGATGTTGACCCACGGGCGCCCGTGCTTGCTGCCTGCCTTACGAACCCATGCAGTCCATATCCCGTTGAATGCGCCTCCAAGCGTCTTCTGAAGCCTGATGATCTTGTCTGAGGCTGGTTCGTCACCCTTAGTGTCAGCCTCGCAGATGGGCTTCATGCACGTGGGAAGTCCACCAAGGGGGTCGTCTCGGCGCGCGGGTGGGAGGGGGATTGCCTGTGGGTCGGGGCGTCGGCCTGGGCTGCGGTTCTGCCAAGGTGAGCTGAGTGGCGGACGGGCATCGCGCTCAAGCGTGGCGTCCTCAGGAATGGAGTGCTGGCGGCGATCTGGCTTGCTCCCCGCGCCTCTTAGATCTCTGCCGTCACCGATTTCTTCCATGATCGACCGGGAGCGGGCAGTAGCGAACGGCGTCCAGGTTGCCAACTCGTCCTTTGGTGGGGGCTGCGTCCACAGGACTGTCCGACCGCGGGGGGCATCGTTGTCACTGGGGTCGGGGACGTCGGCCTCATCTGCCTGTTGCGTGGGACTGGCGACCATGGAGACGGTCCTGTCTGGTGGGTTGTCCTCGTCGTAGTCGACTTCGCATTCGCCGCTGCCGCGTCCATGCCTGTCTGGGGATGGCACTTCCCTTGTTTCTCCGTCCGCCTGCGTCGCTGCAGAGGATTGCTGGAGGGGGGCGTCGTCAGGGGCGCAGCCGGGTGAAGTTGTTGGGGGTTCTCTGCGCCAGACGGCGGCAGGGGATCCCTCGCCCTCCTCGCTGCTGGTCTTCCCGACATTGCGCTCGCTGGCGCGGACCTCTAGTGTTCCCACTGCGAGGTCGTCCTTCATTTGGGACAGCAAGCGGTTCAGCGTCTCCAACGGTTGGCGCTGGGGGCACTGTCTCTTTGGTTGTGGAGTTCGTTGGCGAAGGACCGCCAGGCCTCCTGGTACTTCTGGTTCCTCCCCACCAGTTGCGTGATGCCATTGGCCGCAGCGGCCCTCTGTCCGCCCCAGGGGATGAGGGGGGGTGACCATTCTTGGGGATCTCGCCCCCGTAGATGGATTCCAGGAAGCGCACCAGGTGCTCGTGTGACCATCCCGACTTATCGGTGACATCACCCACTACTTCCCTGCCCAAGCGCTGCGTGAAGGCCGTCCAGAGGGCGTGAACCGCGCGGTTCCACTCAGTCAGAAACTTGACCGGCTCGCGGACGGGGCCGCACGACTGCTCTCAACCAAGCCGGAGGGTGGAGTATGTGGGTAGCAGGGGTGCGTTGGGTGGTGGGAGAGGCGGTAGAGCGCACCTGCGGGTGGCTCCGTCGTCGGGGCCCCCCACTGGGCGCGAGGCGTGCCCTGGAAGGCTGTCGGGCGTTGCCGTCGGCGGGTTGGGACCAGTGGCCGGCGCTGGGCTGATTGGGGAGAGGTGAGCTGACATGTCGTGGATGTCCCAGTCCTCCGAGCCCTCGCTACTGGCGGGCCTCTTGGTGGGGGTGGCGGGGTATACTTCGTTCGAGCATAGGTCCAGCACGCTGTCGAGGACACTGGGGGCAAGGTCCCAGATGTGTACCAGGCACCTCCTGCAAGCCCAATTGGCATTCCACTGCCTTCTGATCCACAACGACGGCATTGCCTCCCACGCTGGAAGACCTGTCTGGTCACTGCAGTCGGCGTCCTCCTCTGGGCGCCATGTGAAGCACCCCGGGGCGGGTGCGCCCGCCGGCCATTCGAGCAGCGGGGAGTAGGGGGGACAGAAGTCGCACGCGGCCGAGTAGCACTTGGCGCGGTGCGCCTCAGTGCCGAACCTGCCGTCTGAGAGCCCTTGTGGCGGTAGCGTGGTGCCTGCGCTGGCCGGGCGGAAATGGCGTGGCGCACGAAGGGTGAGCCCCTTGAGGGAGGTCAGGGCTGCCTTGTCCGATGGCGCCCTGTACCCCAGCGGTAACCTGGACAGAGAGGGAAGGGTCCTAGCCCTCTTCTGCGCCCGGTTGTCGTCTAATCTGCGTTTATGCTCTTGTAGTAGCCACAGCATGGACTTCTTGCCGGCGCGCTCGGAGGGGTCGGGTTCGGGGAGGGGGATGCCTTTCTTCTCCAGTGAGACGACCCAGCAGCGCTCGCAGAGCCATCTACAATTCTTTCCATCCGTATACGCCTGCGCACGGTTCTGAGCGAGTAATTCCCGGGTGAAGTCGTCTTCCCAGGTACCTGCTGTGCCGTGAAGCCCCACGTTGAAGCACCCGTCGCAGTTGTAGGTGGCGTCCTTCTGCCGCCTGCTGAAGCGCTCATCGCGCACAACGGGTTGGGCCAAGGATGTACCTGGGGCCGGAGAGGCAGGGATGTCTTCGTCGAGTCGGTGGTTGGAGATGGCCTTCCCGCCACCTATGTGCTGACGGTCGTCCATGGTCTGCGGGCATCCTAGCCCTACCTCTGAACCCGCCAGGGCAGTGTGCAGCAGGCAGATGGAGCATTCTCCGACGTGCAGCTGTTTGACGTCAGCGGGCCGTCGTAGGGGGGCCTCCAGGGTGAAATTGTGCATCTGCATCCCAGCCCACGTTTTCGGACAGCCGCACTTGCCCGCAACCTCGTGATGGTGGGCGAACGTGGCCAAGGTACTTGTATGGTGGATGACATCGGCGAGCTTGGTGTGGAGAGTTTCGAGGTCTGCCAACCGGTACCCCCACGTCTCTGCGCACTGCGTGTGGAACCCTTTGTGCGCTTCCTGCCAAGGGAGGCAAAGACCCATCATGGCCTCGAAGATGTCGCCAGTGGCCTCTGGGTTCGGGAAGGGCCAAAGTGTGGCACGGGGCTCACGTAACTGCAGCATCATCACTACCAGCAGTACTCTGAGCGTGTGGGGGTTGAGTGGCTGCCCGTCGACTCCAAGTAGGGATCCCGTGAGCTCAGTGTCGATCGCCTCGGGCTTGAATAGGGCGCGCAGGTTCTCCATTCCTGGGTGCACCCTGTGCCGTCGGCAACGGCAGGTGGTACTGCTCCATGCTGCTGGAAACTGAAGGAGCGTGTCCCGGGGAGTGCAGCGGCTAGAAGTCTTGGGGCGTCGGTTGGTTCCCACCATGTGGGGTAATGGTGGAAGCGAGTCGTACGAGACGCCCAGCTGCTTGTCGTTCAATGGCGTGCCCAGTCCGAGGAACCAGACAATGGCTGCCCACGTGAGGTTGTACACGAGGTTGCTGGCGTCGATCCCCACTTCGACGTCTAGGCAATAGCCAAGGTGGCTCCAGGCCTTCCTGTCTAGCTGCCTGGTTGCCTGGGTGTGGCCCCCATTTGCCACTGGTGGGGGTGCAGCCCGGAGACGGTGTACAGCAGGATAGCCATGATAGGGTCGTCGACCAGCTTCTGAATGCTGTCTGTGAGGGTGGCACCAAGCTTGTCCCAGGAGAACTGAGCGTCGAGTGGTGCCGCGATGCGGTCCGCGAAGGAGCTCTCCAACCTGGCCTTGGCCTTCTTGATGGCGTCATCCAGGCTGGTGGGGATACGCGAAGCGTCTAGAATTCCAAGTCCTCCTCCTCCTCCTCCTCCTCATCCACCCCCTCATCTTCCCCCTCCTCCTCCTCCTCCTCCTCCTCCTCCTCCTCCTCCTCCCTCCTCCTCCTCCTCCTCCTCCTCCTCCTCCTCCTCCCGGACCTCCTCTTCCTCCTCCTCCTCCTCCTCCTCCTCCTCCTCCCGGACCTCCTCCTCCCCCTCCTCCCTCCTCCTACTCCTCCTCCTCCCACTCCTCCTCACTATTATGATTATGTTTCGTATTGTTCTTCGTCGTGGTAATATTATTACGACGACCTCATTAATAGTATGATGATCAGTCTGACTAGTATTAACACTAGCCTTAGTATTATGAGTAGCAGTACATGAATTATGAGTGATATGAATGTTGTATTACACATGTGATTATTATTAATATTGGTGTAACATTATTAGTAGTATCATTATCATTCGCATTCGCATTGTTATTGTTGTTGTTCTTAGTGTTCGTATGCTCACTCTTCTGGATATTACAACTATTATCAACATTGTTATTGTTATTATCCATATAAGTTTTAATACGATTACTACTACTATTTTTTATGTTCCCTCCTCCTCCTCCTCCTCCTCCCCCTCCTCCTCCTCCTCCTCCTCCTCCTCCTCCTCCTCCATCTCCTCCTCCTCCTCCTCCTCCTCCTCCTCCTCCCCGCATCCTCCTCCTCCTCCTCCTCCTCTTCCTCCTCTCCTCCTCCTCCTCCTCCTCCTCCTCCTCTCCTCCTCCTCCCCCCCCTCCCCCTCCGCCTCCTCCTCCTCCTCCTCTCAAGCCACGGGGGGCTCAGGCGCAGTGCCTCTCGCGTCGCCCCTCGTCCTCGCGCTGAAGGCGAAGCGCCGCCAAACTGCTGCGCTAGCCTGCCGCTTGAGCAGTATTTGTGCGTGCTTGTAGTTGGGTTTGGTAAAACTTCCTGCCTGGAGATTAGGGTCCAGATGCTGGTGCGCCGGCATCTCCTCTGCGAAAACTGCGGCGAGGTGATGGCTGGCTACTTGAAAGGGCTGAATAGTGAGAGCAGCGGTATCAACATGGAGTTGGTAGTCCTCGACGGCCCCACCGTGAACGTTGGGGATATGAAGGTATTCATGCCCATGGTGCCGCCCTAGGCCAAGATGAGCACGAAGAAGGACCAAAACTTCTTCATCGGGGACTGCGAGACCGTCCCGGAGAATCTGAAGTCCATGGAGGAGCTCCAGAACAAGAACGACAAGGGCAAGCTGGTGCCCATCGTTCCCAACATGGAGCCGCCGCTGGAGGAGCTCATGCTGCGAGTGTCCCAGCTTGAGAAGCTCGCGGGCCACCATGAGAAGGCCAACGACATGGTGCACAAATACGGTCCCATGCAGATCCATGACGAGGTGAAGATGTTTACGGCCGCCGCCAAGACAGACCTCGACCAGGTCTACCGCGTGCTGGTGGAGCAGATGGCCGTGCACAAGGCCGACCTTGACAATATCAGCCCCCCCAACATGCAGCAGCTTCTCGAGCAGGTCCGTGCCGACCTGAAGTTGCAAACGACCGACTCGGTCCACAGCAAGTTGAAGGAGCAGATGGCCGCACATAGAGCAGACCTTGAAAATATCAACAGCTCCATCCTGGGGTAGCTTCTCGAGCAGGTCTAAAGCGACCTGAAGTTGCAGACGGCCGCCATCAAGACAGACTTCGACTCGGTCTACGGCGAGTTGAAGGAACAAATGGCCGCAAACAAAACAGATCTTGACAACATCAACAGCTTCACGAATGTGCAACTAAGCGTCAAGACGCCCGTCGAAGATCTCGAGCTGATCCGCGAAGAGATGATGATGCAGAAGGCCGTCACCAAGACAGACCTTGACCAGGTCATCTACAACTTTAAGGAGCAGAAGGCTGAGCTCACAACAGATCTTGACAACATCAACTGCCGGACGAAAGAGTTCGAAGTGAAGCTCGGCACCGAGCTCGCCGAGCTCAATAGCTCCGTGCTGGACACCAGCCTCCCGCCGGTCATGTCCTGCCTCCAAGGCAGGGGCGCCGAGGCTTGAGGGGGCCAGAATCGGACCTGCACGCGCCGCGTGGGCGCGGCCCTCCCTCGGCCTGGCCGGTTTTGACGGCACCGTCGCCTTCGGGCACGTCCCTGCGCCGCCCCCGCTTGTCGGGTGAACAGTGGCGGCTGGCGCGGTTTCCTCCCCTCCTCCGCCGTGCCGTGCGCGCCGTGCGAGGGACTCCCGCTGGGACGGTCAGGGGTGTGCATCGGGGCGCCTTCGGGCATGTCTCGAGAGCTGCTCCTGCATCGGCAAGTGAACTACAGCAGCTCACCCCTCCTGCGTCGGCAGGTGAACCACAAGGGTGCGTGAGAAACGTCCCCGCATTCATCGGGATTTCTCTGGGTACTTTTTTTTCGGGGGGTAGCAGAATCCGTCGAGGCATCCATCCCAACCACCTGAGAGGGGATGTGCCGCTTGACGAGCTGGTGCCTCTTGCTGATTTAACCAGTGCAGTGGACTGTGGTGGTTCTTTGGCTTCGACTGATGGCTTGGAGGGTTAGGCTCTGGGGCGCCTTTCCCTTTTGGGCTCGGGCTCGCTGGAGACTTTCCCTTGTCGCTGCTGGTCCTAGCCTCTGCGATGCGACGTGTCGAATCAAATCAAATCTTCCTCCTCCTCCATCATATCATCCGTCTCGCTCTCTCCACCCGCCCCCCCTTTGGCCACTCAGCTCGGCCCCCAAGGCACTCGCTCTTCGGTGGCCAGGGGTGGCGGGAGGAGGGAGCGAAGAGGGGGAAGGGGCGGGAAGAAGGGGGAGGGAGGAGAGAAGGGAGAAAAAGGGGGGAAGAAAGGGGAAGAAGAGGGAGGAAAGACAAACGGAAACGCCTATCTTAATGGCGTGGCCTTCCCGAGGGGTCTGCGGCAACTGCGACAGCGCTAGAATACAAGAACAGTGAGCGATGCATGGGCGGCGTATTTTCACTGTCAGGTAAGCGCCGTGGGACAACACGGGCGTTTCTCTAAAGCAGTCGCGCCGTGGAACCTCGTGGTGTGTGGGGGAGGCGGGAGGGAGCTTGAACAGGAGCAGTTGCGGAGCAGAGGGAAAGGGCAGGAGGCTCGGTGACCTTGGAGGCCTTCCAGCAGCGCAAGGAAGGTCACTGGCCCCTGGGGCTCTCTGCCCAGAGACTCCCAAGGCCACTCATTCACAGGAACACGAGTCGTGAGACAATTCGCTCCTATCTTAAAGGCGTGGCCTTCCCGAGGGGTCTGCGGCAACTGCGACAGCGCTAGAATACAAGAGCAGAGCGATGCATGATCGACGTATTTTCACTGTCAGGCAAGCGCCGTGGGACAACACGGGTGTTTCTCTAAAGCAGTCGCGCCGTGGAACCACGGCAGAGTGCAATTATCACCTCACAAAAGCCACACACCAGAGTTCGTGTCCCATCCCCATCTTCAAATGCCCTTGGGAGGGCGGGCGGGGGTCTTTAACTTGCATTCACGAAGCGCACGCGCGCTTGAGGATGTCACGGATGGCCGCGCCATTAAAACGAGCAGCACGCTTGATCTGATCGTCGGTAAGCTTTGACCGTTGACGCAGTGCCGAACCGTGCTTTTCATATATCCTGACACTCTCTTTTGCGTGCCGGCGCCCTCTATGCTGAATCGGTTCGATGGGTCTTACATGATGCAACGCCCCGTGAGAAGGGCCTCCGTGCCGCAACTGGTGCGGCACCGACAAAAGGTTTCCAACCTTAGCCGATTGGGGCGCCAGCTTCAAAGTTTTCTCGAACTGCGGGAGAGTTAGAGGGTGGAAGAGAGCGGGTAGCTTCTGGCGCCGCGCTCGGGCCCGGAGACTCAGGAGGATCCCGGGGGCGACACGGCGAACGGGCAAGTCGGTGCCTGCCTTCACGGTGCAATCGAAATCCTTGTTCTTCGCGGGCTTGTCTTCGCCAAGCAGCGCCGCGACGACGGCGGCGTCGGCCGCGCGGCCTGAGGCGCGAGAGCCGAAGACGTGCTCAGGCTTGATTGCCACCAATTCGCCAGGGCGGAAGTACATATCGAAGGCTGTCACAGACGCCAACGCGACCAGCAGGTCAGGGGTGGGCCCGTTGTCCAGGATGGGGCACGTCAGCTGGATGGCCTCGAAAGGCGGCGGCCCCCGCGGGACCGCGGGCAGCTTCGCCGCCCAGCCCAGCAGAGCGTCTTTGGCTTTCTGAAACCGTGGCTTTCCAGCTGACCATCCACGAACCTTGCGCAGGCCATGCAGCGCATTGCGCGCCAGGTACTGGGTTTTCCTCCGCGAAGAACAGGTCTTCGAAGTAGAAGTTGAGCGTCTCGTCCGCGACCTCGGGCGTAGTCAGGAAGGAGGCCACGACGCTGGGCATAGTCAGTCAGCTCGATCACGGCGGACTTGTACCCGTCGATCGTCGAAGGCTTCAGCGCAGCAAGCCTGAGGTAGTCGCCTGGGGCGGCTTCTCGCCGGCCCGCATCGACGTCTCCTCGCGCAGCGGCCTGCGCCCGGCGGCGCCGGGCGGCGGCGGCCACGGGCCGCGGCCCCGCCGTGCGTTTCCCGCGGCCAGCGGCCACAGTGGCCGCGCCAGCTCGGGAGCCCCGCGCTTCGGCGTCGTCAGAGGCGTCGTCGTCGGCAGGCCTCGGCCGCGGCCGCCAGCGTGCTCGCTGGCCAGGCCTCGCATGGCCAGCAGAGGGCTGGCCGTCCCGCGCCGGCCAGTGCGAGGCCACTCCGCCTTGCACTGATCCACCGCTAGCAGCGGCTCGGGCGCGGGTCAAGCGCGGTGGCCCAGCCTGGCCTCCAGGGGAGCCAAAAGCGTCGAGGGCAGATCGGCGCCGTGACCCCCCGCGGCTCGTGGACTCCGGCCGCGCTCGCCAGCGCGCGAGCCCGAGCCTGGAGGTCATCTCGGGTCGAGCGTCCAAAGGCGCCACGAGGGGCGTCGGGCCCAGCCAGCGAAACCAACAGCCTGCACCAGCTTGGCAGGTAAGCACCGGCCAGGGTTGTGCGCCACGTCCAGCCTCGCGTCGGGTGCCTGACTTCCCCTTGCAGCACCACCCTGCGAGGGCGGCCTCCGCAGCAGCAGCGAAGTCCCACGCCGCCCAGCGCGGGGGGGCTCCCGGCGATCGCACCCGGCTTCTGAAAAGGCGCGCCGAACCTGCACGAGTCGAACAGCACCTTCGGCCAAGCAAGGCGCCGCAGTTCGCGCTCCAGCGCCGGCCAGCGACAGACCCGACTCGCGGGCGGGTTCTCGAAGGTGACGAACACGCCCAGGGTCCGGCACAGGCGCAGGACGCGGACCGAGAAGGCCACCAGCGCGCGGTCCGCGGGCGAGGGGTCGCGATCACCCCCCAGGGGGACCCACCGCGTGCAGGACAGCCCCAAGTGGACCCACCAGATCTCGCCCGTTTTGAGCCAATGTTCAACGAGACGCTGCACTCGGCGGTTGGTGAGGTCGCAGCGGGGCCCATACTTGGAGTCCATGGGGGGCATGATCCGAAATCCACGCTCATGTAGGGTTCCAATAAGGTTTGCCGTCCCCGCGAAAATCTCCAAGAAAGCCTTGCGAGGAGGGCCCCGTTGGGAAACTCCTGAAAGCCCGGCGCCTGGAGCAGCGCGAGGTACCTGAGGGGGCCCAGGTCCAGGCTGAACGCGGGGGCCTCGTTGAGGATCTTTTCGTGGTTCACGATGTCCAGGTGAGCCCCGTTGAGGATCACGAGAAGGCCCTTCAGCCACGCCAGGAAGGTCACCGGCTCCTGGGGCCTCCTGTGCAGCTCGTAGCAGCGCGCCGCAGCTCGGTGACCTTGGAGGCCCTTCAGCAACGCCAGGAAGGTCACCGGCCCCTGGGGCTTGCTGGCCAGCCCGCCGCGTCGCGGCCTGGTCAGGACGTTTGCCGCGTCGCATCTTGTCGACACGGTGACTGCAGGGAGATGTGCCAGCAGACGGAGAAGGATGAGGTGACGGTGAGAATAGGATACCGCAATTCTTGTCATATTTTCCAGGCCCCGGGAACTCGGCCTGCTCAGCTCCGATCTCATGCTCGAGGGCCGCGGCAGGAGAAAAAGTAACGCTGCCCACGGCCGGCGGCGCCACGAGCGCCCGGCGGCTCCGAGCCGACGGCGCCGAGAGGGCCCCTCGCCCTCGGTAGCGCCCGGCGAGGAGCTCGCCCCGGTCGGCCGCCCGGCTCCCATGGTCCGCGACGTTGTAGATGCCAGGCACGCGCCTCGGGCGCCAGCGGATCTCGCGCGCGAAGCTAACCGCTGCCGCGCGGCGGCACTGAGCCAGCAGCTCAAAATTGGTGGCCCCCCCCTTCTCGAAGGCCAGGATCGACGACATGTTGTCGCACAAGCTGAGGTCCTTGCCGTGGAAGGCCACGTCGCTGGCCGCCCTCCACAGCAGCGCGACGGCGGCCCGGGCCCCCAGCGCGTGGATCCGGCTAGGGCGCCGCCACGCCCCGCGCCGACGCCCCGCCCAGCGGCTGGCGTCCAGCAGCGCCTCCGCCAGCGGCTCGGGAGGGGCCCCGATCTCCAGCTCGACGCGCCGCCTCTTCGCCACAGCATGCCGCGGCCGAGGCGGCGTCTCGATCGGCAGCGGGTCGGACAAGTCCGCCAGGCCGGCGGTCCGCCCCTCGCACAGCTCGTCGTCGGGCGCGACCTCGACCTCGGCGGGGACGAACCGCCGACGCCCCCGCCACCGGGTGGCCGCAGGCTCAAGGCGAGCCTCGCAGACGGGGTAGCCCCGCAGCGAGCTATCGGCGGTGCAGGCGACGTCGGACGGCACGCGGCACAAGTCCACCTCGCCCAGGAAGATGAAGCCAGCTGCAACTGCGAGCTCCCCGACGACGCCCCTCGGCAGCCGCGAGACGGGGGCCAGTTCGCCGCCCCCGATGAACGTGTAGCAGGCCCCCAGCACGCTGAGTCCAGAACGCACCACAGAGAAGTAGTGCACCAGGTGACCCACGATCCGGCGCACCTGCCAGCGAGCCAGCCACGGCTCTCGCAACACGTGGTGCAGCGCGAGATAGAGCCGCCACGCGCGCTTGGCGGTGTG